GTGGAATTACGTTAAATGAAATGGGCTTGATTTTCTCGCGAAATTTTAACACTTAAACTTTACTAATTATGGGTTTTACTGAATAAGATCTTGATGGATTTATTACGTTGGGAATAATCGGTTTACCACTCGATCACACACACACACAAATCTCTATCTCCTCGATTTCTAATTGTTTTTTTTTTCATACCTACATTATATAATTTCACAGGAGGTAATTACTACAAAATTTGTTTTCCTAACTTTGCAAACCACGAATCATTTGAATCGCGATATTGGCCTATTTCAGTCATTGCTGCTTAAATCGTTCGATGCGCCCTAAATCCGTCAGATATAAGGACAATCCAGACCATATCTTGACGGAAGGGGGAGCACCATTGTTTTATTTTCCAAATGGGAAATCCTCACACCCTATCCCCCCCCCCCCTCCCTGCTCACATGATCAATCAAATAGTCAACATACTACTAGCCTACTCTAACCAAACCTCGATTGATGATGAATTTTGAACCACGTAAGCCATGGAAATTCATTCCTACTTTGTCAGTTATATGAAAGTGGGAAAAAAACACGACGCAGGGGTTTGGTGAAAAAAGATGGAGTAATTGATGACCTAAAAGCCACGTATGCATGGGGGTAGTTCTAATAGATTCAATTCGCTAATTATTATTAGGTGGATCTTTTTTTCCTCGTCTTGGCGTTTACACTAATTTAACGAAATGCGGGGATAATCTAGTGTTCCCGGTAGAAAAAGAGATTTGACAAAGGCGCGGTAGTTGCCACGCTCGTCTTTGAAGTTGCAAATCGCGATTTTGATGTGAATCGGTGAGCCGAATGAGACGTAGAACACAGTTTAAGTGATCGATTTCGAGTATATCGCTTCAATACTGTGTTCATCCTCCCAACTTGAAGGTTGAAGTGTACTCGAGAGGTGTCTATTGCCTATTTCGCCTTTATACACTTTATGCTATTTTTTTTCTTTCCAAATTTCAAAATTCTCTCGACTTCTGATTCAATGCGTTGTCGGAATATTGACATTGTAATTAAAAGATCGTTAATCCAGGTTAATAGTGTTTTCAGTTGGTCAATATTGGAGACAGTAAGTAAGAGCATAAACTCAACGCGAACTCGGTTTACTGAAAATTCGTTCAATCGCTTTGATTACTTGTGATCATTGGTCTTTCTACTGAGAATGGAGTCTATTTGGAATGGTACTGGGAACATGTTTTCATTTAATTCAAATTCCAACATCGTTTTCAAACTTTGCAACCAAGACGGTAGGTCATTATTTATTAATGACAATAAAACCATTTCATTGTTAATTTGTTTCCAATTGCACTGAGAGCATCCCCCCTCTCTCATTTTGCATAAAATAAGTTGCGATATAGTCGCACTAAAGATGGAATTTCGTGAGCTTTTTATCGAACCTTACATCATCAACCTTAAGGCTGGGAAAGTTATTATTGTTTCAAATGACAGGCTTTGTGATATTTATCATTAACCCTTAAACTTTGACATCAGCTTTCCCCATGGGTGGGGGGTACATTTATAGCAGTTCATTAGCCGTCTTCTTGCTTCCCAGTATCTCTGGCTTCCCGTCGTTGTCTTTAAAGCTGGACATCAAATCAGGTGGGTCTTCTCCATTTCCTCCTGTAGGTTACATAGAGGGCATGTGGGTTGAGTGTATACTCCCAATCTATGAAGATGTTTTGCCAGGCAATCGTGTCCGGTAGGTAGT